ATTGTCTTGAGTGATCTTCATCAAAATTCCATTTTAAAAAAGCCAATAACATTCACAAATAGAAAAACTAATCATAAAATTCATGTGTGACTACACAAAAGATCCCAAATAGCCAACACAATCCTGAGCAAAAATAACAAAGCTGGAGGCATACACTACCTTCAAAATGCAGTACAAAGGTGGCACCTGTAGCTCAGTCAGTAGGGTGCAGGCCACGTACACCTGAGCTGGCAGATTTGAACCCGGTCCAGGCCTGCCAAACAACAATGACAACTGCAACAAAAAAATAGCCAGGCGTTGTGGTGGGTGCCTGTAGTCCCAGCTATTTGGGAGGCTGAGGCAAGAGAACTGCTTAAGCCCAAGAATTTGTGGTTGTTGTGAGCTGTGACACAACAGCACTCTACCCAGGGCCACAGCTTGAGACTCTGCCTCAAAAAAGAAAAAAAATTTAAAAAATACAGTACAAAGCTATAATGACCACAGCAACATGGTGCCGGCATAAAAACAGATACATAGACTGAGGGAACATAAGACAGAATCCAGAAATAAATCCACATATTCCAGCCAATTTATTTTTGACAAAGGTGCCAAGAACACTCACTGGGAAAAGGAAAGTCTCTTTAATACACGGTGCTGCGGAAACTGGACATCCATATGTAGAAAAATGAAGCTTTATATCACCATTTTAAAAAATTGACTCAAAATGGATTCAAAACTTAAATGTTAAGACCTAAAATTATGAAACTACTTTTGTGGAAATGTTTCAGGACACTGACCTAGACAAAAACTTTATGAATAAGAACTCAAAAGCAGGCTTGGCGCCTGTGGCTCAAGCGGCTAAGGCACTAGCCACATACACCTGAGCTGGCGGGTTTGAATCCAGCCTGGGCCTGCCAAACAACAGAGACGGCTACAATCAAAAAATAGTTGGGCTTTGTGGCGGGCGCCTATAGTCTCAGCTACTTGGGAGGCTGAGGCAAGAGACTCGCTTGAGCTCAGGAGTTGGAGGTTGCTGTGAGCGGTGATGTCATGGCACTCTACCCAGGGAGACAGCTTGAGGCTCTGTCTTAAATAAAAAAAAAGAAGAACTCAAAAGAGGCAACAAAAGCAAATATAGATGAATAAAATTTTATGAAACTAAAAAACTTCTCCCCGGCAAAGGAAATAATCAACAGAATAAAGAGACAACCTGCAGAATGAGAGAAAATATTTGTGAATAGTTCCACAAGGGATTAATATCCCAAATATATGAGAAACTCAACTCAACCTCAAAAAGTCAATCCAATTAAAAATGGTTAAATGAATATTTCTCAAATGTAGGCATACAGATGGCCATGTAATATATAAAAACATGTTCAATATCACTAATCACTGGGGAAATGTAAATTTAAACCATGATGAGATGTCATCTCATCCCAGTTAGAATAGCTATTATTGAAATGACAAAAAATAATAAATGCTGGTGAGGATGTAAAAAAAAGAGAACTCTTTCACTATTGGTGGAAATACAAATTAACATAGCCATTATGGAAAGAAATGTTATGGCAGTACCCCAAAAAACTAAAAATATAACTACCATATGATTCAGCAATCCCATTACTGCGTGTATGTGTGTCTATATCTATGTCTTTATCTATAATCTATATATAGCTCCAAAAGAAAAAGAAAAGAAATCAGTATGCTGAAGATTCCAGTATTCACTGCATCATTATTCACAATGACCAAGACGGTAAATTAACTTATGTGCCCATCAATGATTGAATGGATCCAGAAAATGGGGTATATATACATAATGGAAAACTACTCGGCCACGAAAAAGAAAAAAATTCTGTCATTAACAGCAACAGCCATGAGCCCAGACGGCATCATATTATGTGAAATAAGCCAGGCACAGAAAGACAAATACCACCCTTTTATTCATATGTGGAAGCTAAAAAACAAAGGTTGATTTAATAGAAGTAGAGAGTAGAATACTGGTTACTACAGGCTGAGGGGAGTAGCAGGGAAGGGGGGATAGGATGAGGTTGGCTAGCAAAGACAAAATTATAGCTAGACAAAAAAAGTCTTTTATAACACTGTAGAGCAACTATAATTGACAACAACTTATGGTACTTATGATATTTTTAAATAGTTAGAAGAGAGAATTTTGAATGTTCCCAACAAAAAGAAATGATAAACATTTAATATGATGGATTTACTAATTACTACAATTTCAATCATGACACATTGTATACATGTATCAAAATATCATAGTGTAGCCCATAATTATGTACAATTATTATGAGTTAATTAAAAATAAGTTAAAAATCTAGTCATTAAAGTTCTTAAGTTCAATTAATATATTTTTCAGTTTAGGCTCGGCTCCTGTGGCTCAAGCGGCTAAGGCGCCAGCCACATGCACCTGAGCTGGCAGGTTCAAATCCAGCCTGGCCCGCCAAGCAACAATGACGGCTGCAACTAAAAAATGGCCGGGTGTTGTGGCGGGCGCCTGTGGCCCCAGCTACTTGAGAGGTGGAGGCAAGAGAATCACTTGAACCCAGGAGTTGGAGGTTGTTGTGAACTGTGATGCCATAGCACTCTACCCAGGGGGACAGCTTGAGGCTCTGTCTCAAAAAAAAAAAAAAAAAAAGAAGGTATTTTTCAGTTTAGAATTTCTATTTAGTTCCTTTTTATAGATTCCAATTCTCTAGTGAAGTTTTCAATAATTTTTTCTACTTTCTTGAATTCATTTCCCATCATTTTATAGTCATTGCCTGTTAACCTCCATACAGGGATCATTTGCAGGTCTGTTTATACTCTGTGGTTTATTTCCTCATATTTAGTCATGTGATTCTGTTTTTTGATGTGCTTATTAATTCTGCCTGGAATGAAAGACACTGTATATAAAGTATCATCAAGGCTACCTATCACATCTTCCAGAGCGGAAGGAATCATCTTCTTCTCTGCTAAGTGTGTTAACTGAGGAGTAAACCCCCTCATCCTGTTAGGAACTGGGAATAACCAAGCTTTCCATTTGAGGAAGGTCAATTACACCTCTAGTTCGCCTGCTTCCTAAGTGCAGCTCTGTTTCTCTGGACTCTCTCTCCCCAGTGATCCTAACTATTAATTCTTATCTCCTTAGCTTAGCAAGACTTAATGGGAAATGCTTTTATATTGTTTTTGTTACGTGAAATTTATATCTAGTGTTACTATGTAAGAATTACATATGTGGAATTACTATGTAAGTCAATAATAGAAATAATAGTCAATTGAAGTTGGCTAGCAAACTTCAGGATAGTCGATTCTGTCTAGAATTACTATGTAAATCAATAATAGAAATAATGTACCTCTTTATTAGGAAATTTCCAAGTATATGTCATTTGTCATGCAAAAAGTTGGCAACCTATGGCCTGCAAGCCAACTGTGCCCCTTGCTTGTCTTTATTAATGAAGCACAAGCATTTTGGAGCATAGCCAATCATTGCCTGCGGTTGCATTTGCAGAATGATGTCAAGAGTTGAGTTAATGTGACAGAGATCATATGGCCATCAAAGTCCAAAAATATTTACTACCTGATCCTAAACAGAAAATGTCTGCTCATCTCCCACCTATTCCAAATGAAGAAATAAAGAAGCATTTTGCTATTTGGTATCAAAGAGTTTCTTGCAAGTTCCTTCAGTTTGAACATACTAGCTCATAAAGCCCATTAGCAACAGGTCCAAACATTTAGAAATCCACCTATCTAGGGCAGTGCCTGTGGCTCAAAGGAGTAGGGCACTGGCCCCATATGCTGGAGGTGGGTTCAAACCCAGCCCCAGCCAAAAACTACAAAAAAAAAAAAAAAAAAAATCCACATATCTACTCCATTCTCTACACATTCAAGCAAACATGCAAAATTATTAAAGACTGTATTATAGAAACCTAAGAGATAGATATATGTCTGTGCTAGCATTAAAAGCCCTTCTCACAAAAGGGTACCAAATTGAGATTGTAATGGTAAAGAGTTCTCTCTCTCCAGGCTTCCAGACAGGCTTCCCAACAGACAACAGATGGTTGAGTTCATAGTCTAACCGTGGGAAGCCATACATGAATTCAGGGAAGCCACAGAATTATATCAAGTGAAAAACAGGGTACCTACCTCACTATCACTGCTACGAAGAAGGGTTCTAACAAGTAGGGATTACAGGGAATCAAATGCAGACGGAGAACAGATGGACAGCCAGCTGACTAAGGAATCCCAGGAGGTAAATTAATTCTGAGAGTCTAAGATTAGCTACATTTTAGAATCCATACAGCTTCCTAGCCCCGTGCTTTAATTTTCAAAGTGACTGGGTTTACCCAATTTCTATGCATCTATTTCTCCTCCCTTCACAATCTAATTCATAATAATTATTTTTCTTCCTCTTGTTAACACACATACTCCTTTACTTTCACATCTTTCAGGCAAAACTGGCAGAAGAAAGTAAATTTTTTAAAAAATAGACACAACTCACAAAAATATTTCTGTTATGCAACTTTAATATTATGTATTGACCTGAATTACACCACTTATATAAATGATAGTGAAATATGACACCAGTCTATGACCATGAGACCATGAACAATGTGGAAGCTGTTGTCTACTACAGCGCCCAACATATAAGCAGAAACTCAGAAAATAATTGCTATGTAAATAGTGATATGTAACGGCAGTTAAAAGAATAATAGAGTCAGAAATCAGCACCTCAAGTATCATTAGTTCTCAGGTTACCAGGATTTTCCTTTTGCTTATTTTTAATCTAGTAATGCTCTTATATATTAAAAAAAAAAATTCAAACTGCCAAATATCTCAGTTGGTTGCCAGAACGGATGAAGAGAAAAAACAATGAGCTTAAGTATACTTTATAATTAGAAATATTTTATAATGAAAAAAAAAAGATTTTCTCCAACTGAAATACATTCTAAGAGTGACATAATTTGTTAAATAAACAATATAGTTCTTAGACTGTCTTACAATCTAATAAATAGTAAAACAAGTCTTACTTGCTTTTTTAATGTATCATTCAACTCTTTCAATGCATCAAAAGAGGACCTCAGTCTTTTGCTTTCTTTATTCTTTTCCTTAAGAACTTCAGTTAAGTGTTCCACTTCGGCATTATGTTGCTAGAAGAGAAAAGAAACCTCATGTAAACCTTAGGTGAAAGTAACATATCACTCATATCACTAACACCACTGAAAACAAGTTAATTAAAAATACAAACTCTTTCAATTGCAAAAACCTTAACTAATATAGCTAAGCATTGGTGCAATAATTTATAAATACTGTAAAATCTACCAAAGTATCAAAACATCAAAAGCACCTGTGAAATAGCATCAGAACATACTATTATACAAATTGAATAGCAATAAGTCTATTTTCTGCTTCTGCTCAGAAAAATCCACTCACAAAAACTCATTAAAATATTTTCTATTTGACATCAAAAAATAGTAAACAAGGATTTCTGACCATTTTCAAGAGACTAACAAGCTACTCATAGTGCTAATGTAAAATTTACATCACCTCTGAGGAGTTCAAAACCTATTCCATACAACAAAATAATTCCTAGTTATCATGCAGTAGCTAAAACTTTTGATACTAACTTTACATCTTAAAAAATGTTAAATATATAATAAAATTCCTCTGAGCCTCAAACTATTTGACTCTTCATAATCAGTTTTATAAATAATTCAAATCAACTTCCCCTCTAATTGCATTTTATTGAGATTACCATATTTTAAATAAAAATACGAATTGTTGTCTGAGCACAGGGGCTCACAGGGGACTGATTCAGCTGAGGAGTTCAAGAGCAGCCTGAGCAAGGGCGAGATTCTGTCTCTATTAAAAACAGAGAAAGAACCACCTCTGTGTGGAGGCACACGCCTGTAGTCCCACCTATTCCAGAGACTGAGGCAAGAGGATTACTCAAGCCCCAGAGTTTGAGGTTGCTGTGAACTATGATGCCACAACATTCTACCCAGGATGGGTATTTTATTTTTATAAAAATAAAAATAATAATAAATAATGGCTGAGCACTGTTGTTCAGTGGTTAGAGCACTGGCCTTGCAAACCAGGGGCTTGAGTTCAAGCTTAGCCTGGATCTAACTTAAAAAATAAAAATAATAAATAAATAAATAAAATTAATTGTTAAAGCTTCTTTCACTTTCTACTGTCCATAAAGTATTAAAACAAGTTTCTATAAAAAAATCAAGAAACTGGATTAATTTACTTCTTCTAAGTAATATGTAAACACAAAATATAAAGCAATTATCTTTGTACTTAGTAAGAATAGTAGACAAGCTTAAAAGAGAAGGAATCAAGACAAGGATGAGAGGTCAGAGAATCTAAGTATACTTTCTTTAAGCCAAAGAAAATATCCAATAATCTGAAAAGTTCAGTATTCTGTAATTTTATTCTATTAAATAATTCTTTAAGTAGCTTAGGATATAGTCACAAGTATAATAATTTTTAAAACTGGCTTAAATTTTTTTTTTTTTTTTGAATCAAAGTCTCACTATGTAGCCCTGGGTAGAGTGCCATGGTGTCACAGCTCACGGTAACCTTAAACTCTTAGGCTTAAGCAATTCTCTTGCCTCAGCCTCCCAAGTAGCTGGGACTACAGGCAGCTTGGGTAGCTCGGCTACCACAATGCCTGGCTATTTTTGGTTGTCGTTGTCATTGTTGTTTGGCAGGCCTGGGCTGGGTTCAAACCCGCCAGCTCTAGTGTATGTGGCTGGAGCCCTAGCGGCTGAGCTATAGGCGCCAAGCCAAAAAAACTAGCTTTAATATTTTTATTGCCCCAATTTTTCCACATCTAAAAGATATTAAAAATATATTAAAAAAGGGGCAGTGCCTGTGGCTCAAAGGAGTAGGG